ATGGTTAAAGAATATTAGCATCTTGAAAATTTATCATTAATAATGTAATAAAAATAATAATAAATAATCATTAATTAGTCAGTTTCTGTAATAAAAATCTTATCAGTTTTAACAAAAAAGATATAAAATAGTAGTGGTGGTAGTGGTTATTGGTCTGTTACCTGCTACTCTAGTTGAAAATCAACAATAAAAATCACAACAATCGTCATCTTAATTAGTTAGGTTTTTTAATTTGTTTGATGACAACGAATAATAAACCTATAAGTAGAAATTAAATTTTTAATATTTTACTTAACAACTTTCGATTAAAATATTGTCCGTTTATAATTTTTTCCATTTTATTTCATAAAATTGTACAATAATATATTTGGAAATCATATATCTCATACAGCTAACCTAACTTTCTCGCATATAAATATGATAATTTTTTTAAAAAAATATATTTAGATTTGTATAATTCTTATAAAGTTCCAAAGGACTATAATAATTAATAAATTATATTAAAGGAGTAACACAAAATTTTTAAACTGATGGTAAAAAAGACTATTTTTTAGAGAAAATTCTTGTATTTTTAGAGCAAAATCTAAGATTTCAATTGATTTTCATTCGTATGTTTTACATCACATCATTATTTTCATTTTACATTTTTTTAATAAATAATTCTTTTATATGATTATATAATATTTAGTGTTGATTTCTTGAAGGAAAAAGAACTGCTATTCCAAAAATATAAACGTCATCAAAATGGTCTTATACGCTTACAATCCCATTTCATTTTTATGGCTCCAATTCTTATGCTAGAGAAAATTGAATACTCGAAATCAATTTTTGAGAATGAGTTAATATAATGTAAGGAATGCACCTGCGTTATGGCGCATGGGTTACTTTATCAAATTTTATTGGTTAAATTATAAGTTTTATTATTTGACTAAATAGGGTAAAAATTATCACACCGAACACAATTTCATTATGCAGGCAGCGTTAAAAACAAAACCTATTAATAATATAATATCCGTCTTTATTTCTTTTTGCCATGCCATTCATATAACGCTACTCGAAAATATTTTGTTCTTTAACTTTGAAAAATGTGCATTTTTTTATTATAACATATCAATTTGATTTTTTCATTATTTAAGGATCATTTTTTCATATATCATTTACAGGGTTGTTATCATTTGACACGAATTTTTATTTGTGTTTCAAAAATATCTTCTGCATCCCGTCCATTTATTAAAATTATATAATATCACACTCGATTTTCCAATTACTCACACATATATTTACATAGTATAATATTATACATTAATATAACTTATACGCTTTAAAGTTCTCACCAAATTTAAATTAATATTATTTGCCTAGATAATTTTCCAATCACTGATAAATAATTAAAGTCAATTTAAATAATAAACCTTATCTACTAACTATTATTAAAAAACACAACCCACAGTGTTTGCGTATTATATTTTATTTGTAAAAAATTTAATAAACAATAGTTTATACGTATATTAATTGATTATTTATTTATTATTTAAATATAAATGAAATAGAATTGTTTACTCAAAGAATTGAATGGAATGATAAATTAAAAGGAGTTTGGGATAAAACATATCATTCTCTAAACACCAAAATTCAGAAAACAATTACTGAGCATGAAAAGATTTTGTTGAAAATGATTCATCTCTCACAGAAAGTGAAAAGGAATTTTTATTTAATAAATTACAGAAGAAATATGATGCATTTAGAATTGGTGATGATTCTGTAGAAAAACAACAATGCAATGATTGTCAGAATTGGCTCCAATATTGAATTTTGTATTCATACACATTTACAAAATAATTTTGGAAATTGGACATCTGGAAATGTGAAATTGATAAATTAATTCAAGAATGTCAGCAAAAAAACTATAGCACCTGATAGTGTAATTGAATGGATTGAGCATGATCAATTCGAAAATATTGAACATCTGGTGGAAGGGGGATATGCTACTATTTATAAAGCAATTCGGAAAGATGAAGTTATTATAAATGAAATTCTGAAAGGAAAACATTGGAAAGAGTTGGAAGACAATAAAGGTTAAATTACTCAAATATTATTATAATGCGCATTGATTTCAAGAAGTAAGTAAAATAATCATTGCATTTATTATATTTTACTTTATATTTTAGAAATATTAATTATATAATTACAAAGATTGGTAGGTGACATTGAGTTTTACACTTGATTATACTGCCTAATTTCTCGCTAGACTTATGGACTGACTAAAGATCCAAGCACCCAAGATTATATGTTAGGTTTATGGTATTACGATAATGATTTAAGACATTTTTTAAAAGATAATTATCACTCACTTACATTGTTACAAAATATAATATTATACAGATAGGTTAGATAGAATTCATAGCTAAAATATAATGCATTGAGATCTGCACTCAGGAAATATTCTATATTTAGCCCAAACTACTACCTATTGAATGGTTTATTAGTGATTTAGGATTGAGTGGGCTAGTTGACAAACCATCAAATAGCATTTATGGGAATCTCCCATATATCGCTCCCATGGTAAAATTTATACAAAAAAATCAGATATATATAGTCTAGGTATTTTAATGTGGAAAGTAATGACTGGTGAAACTCTTGGTGACTATAAATATGATTTGGATTTAACTCTTGATATTGCCAAAGGATATCGTCCAAGGATTTATGAATATATTCTACATGTATATACGACTTTAATGAAACAATGTTAGGAAAAATGATATCATTAATTGGGTCATTATATAATGAATTGGATAAACAACAAGAATTAATTATTCAATCTAAAAGTTTAAAATCAAAATCAAAAATTTCTTTAAATTAGAATCAAAGAAAAATAAAAATAATCAAGCAATTATGAATACTCATCAAGTAATTATGAACACTCGATAATGCAAAAATACAAAAAGCAAAACTTATAGAATTCAAAATAGTAAAGTATTTGCATTCAACATTACAATTATACCTAGAAATGTCACTGATAATAAATATATTTTATATTATCGCCTTTCTTATCTTTTTTTTTTTTTTTATTAATTTATTATTTATTTATTTTTTTTAAATCATTATTTATTTTTATAGAAGAACAACTCGGTAAGTTGACTCGAATTTTATGTTCGGATGAATTACTATTTTAAATCATATGAAAATAATTATATACATTTATATGCAAACAAATTGATTTTTTTTGTTTGTTATATGAAATTTATTCACGCAACTTAATGAACTAATTTTTATGATGCAATTATAGAAATGGAACAGCGGTTCTCAAATAAATCGTGGCAATTAATATGATTCATCTGATTCCATTACCATATTTTTATTCCTTAATTATTACATAATTTATTTTATTTATTTATTTATTTATTTATTTATTTTATTTTATTTTATTTATTTATTTATTTTACTTTTTATTTATTTATTTATTTTTTATTTTTATTATTTTACTTATTTTTTATTTTAATTTATTTATTTTATTTTTGTTTTTTTTTTATTTATTTATTTCATTTGGATTGCTAGTCCTACAATTTTAGGCTTATTATTATTGTAATTTTTTAATTCATTATTTTCATATTTTTTTTATTATAGTACTATTTTTTCTTATATTAACAGTTAAATAAGTTATTTTATAGTGTGTTTTTTTTTAAAAGGGAAAAGATTAAAGAAAATTATTTAAATCTTGAATAAAAAAACAAAAGTATACGAATGATAGATGTTCTCTTGATCTTGTCTAATCTCATAGATGAACATTCATCTGATGATGGTCAGTATTATCTTATTACGTTTGATCTAAATTTTGATTAAGATATATTTATTTCAAATATTTGTTGTGAAATTCAGAAAGAGATGGGTTTTTTCAGAAATCAAGTTCTTCCACTTTCTTGTTTAGATCTGTCTAATTAACTACTTTTTTTCTAGTTCCTTGATACAAGAAATTAATGAAATCGACCAGAATCTTCTGATTATTGTAAAATCTAAAATCGTCAATAAGGACAGAAAAGGAAAAGAGGGAAATATAAAAGGAAACGAAATTATAAAACAATGCACCTTAAATTAACTGTTTTCTATTATAAATTATTAATAAAATTATTCAAATTAATTTAATATTTCAATACATAAAAAATAATTAATATATTTTATATAAAAGCCTTACTTAAAAATAATTTTGATTTTATTATTTCCATTATGAGAAAATATATGTTATTAAAGTAAGATGAACGATAGCTGAGTGTTCAATCCAATGAAGTTATTTTATTTTGTTCTTGATCAACTTTAATATTGACATTATAATTTTCTTTATCAATAAGAAGCAAGTCTTGATCTTGAGATAACTTTAAAAAATTAAATATTATTTTTTAGAATATTTTTTTTTAGAATATAAAGTTTCTTTTGTAATTAAGGAGGTTTTAATAATAAAATATCGATAAAAAAAACTAAAATTACCGAAACACTACTAATTAGATTAGCAAGGAATTTTTTTTATAAAAGGAAACTGTTTACGATCCTACATAAAAAAAATATTTGATTTCTATTTTGGTAATCATTATATTAATATGATCATTTTTTTAAAAAATTTTCTCTATTTCTTAAACAAAAAAATGGCAACTAAAATTTCCACAGAATTATTGATTTTGATTTTAAATAATGTTCAATCAACTCGTTCAACTCAAGATTTATATTCATCATTATTAGTTAATCGAATCTGGTGTAAAGTACTATACCTTTACTTTGGGAATTATTTTTAAGTGAAAAATTTCGTTTGGATGGATAATAAGAAAGAATTATGTATTCGATCTTAAATTTCATGTATGAAAACTCAAGCTAGAACTTTGCTTATTCAAAATGGATTCGATTTATCGTCACCACCACTTCAAGCTACTTTTGATTATCCATCATTTCACTCATAAATTTATAGTTAATCATTTAGAATATTTTATTTCCAAATATTCACAACAAATTATTAGTTCAGATCAAGATAATAATAATAATAACAAATCTAGAATTTTATTATTTCATGAGATATTTAAATTAATAATAGATCGTTGTTCATTTATGGATTATTTTGAATTGGTGCTAACTCCCAGAATTTGTTCACTTCTCAAATTACCTGATGCCTCGAAAGTATTTAAGAAATTAGAAACGATTTTTTTGGAGATGACAAATTATGAACTTTTGGGACCATTATGTGAATCATTAGCATTAATTTGTGATAATATTTTAAATATGAATTTGAATTTTAATTCGGATTCATATTATCAATTTTTAATAAAATTTATTGGTGATTAGAAAACCTATACATAGAAGATAGTAATTCGATATTATGGGCCATCGTCAATCAAAAAGAAACATTAAAGAGTCTTGCTTTAAATTCAGTTGATTTTAGTGATTTCGAAAGGAAATAATCACCAATTGGACAATTTATTTCACTTCAAAGACTTTATATTAAACATTGTTATGGATTTTAAACCGAATAGTTTATTTTTTGCTTCATCGTTTACTCAATTAAGTAATTTTCATTTTCATACAAATAATAAATGTGAGTGACCTCAAGAATTTATTATAAGAATTTTTGAAACGGCCAATACGAGTTTAAGAAATATTTGTCTGGATATATATCCCTATCCCCAAATTACATTTAATACACTTTCAGCAATTTTAAATTATTGTACAAAGATTACCAAATTAACTTTAAAGATTCTAAGTCCTGAACAAGTAATAATAATAATTTTAATGAATTAAGGAGATTTTCATTTCGTTTTGGAAAAGGATTGGGTTCTAATAAATTATTATGTCTAATGGCCGAAAATGTACCAGAATCACTTGAAATTATTGAAATTAGAATAGGGATATTTAGTGCTGATAGTTTAAGAAAATTTTTTGAAGGGTGGTGTTGTAAAGGAAGAGGAGGAAGAAATGAAAAGATTATCATACGTACACAAGAAGCGCGACTATATATGCTAAATGATTAAAGTTATTGAAGAATATGGATTTGTTAATGGAAAAAATTTTATTAGTGATAAGCTTTGATATAGTTTTACATTTTTTATTATTTTATTAGCTAAAACTTTTATATTTCATTAGCTCAAATTTTAAATTTTTAAAATGTCATATTGATTTTATCGTTATAATAAAATAAAAAATCAACATTAATTAACATTAGAATTAAATTAATTTAATATTAGAGTTGATAAAAATTTGATAATTAAAAAATAATAGTCTATTCAATTTATTTTAATAATTATGGAGTTTTTGAAACATAATAATTAAATAATTTTTATACATTTAGAGGATAACTGTGAAGTGTTTCGTTGCTTCATAATTCATTGCTTCGTTGATTTGTTGCGTTGTTGTTCTCGCAATTTAATTTTGATTCGACATAATTTATAAAATAACAAGAATTTAGGATCAGGAGCATTTAATTAGCTTGAATTTTTAGTTTGCCTTACAATTTAGAAATATTGATTTAATTATATTAAACAAGAAAAATAATTAAATAAAAAAATAGTTAATTTAACAATTAAGCTAAATTATTTAAATATGAAGTTCTAATCAACTTCATTTAAAACAATAAATATTAATTGTCATTTAGAGATCAAGGTAACATTCCAAAAAAAAATTTTATAAAAATTGTAGATGAGTTCAAGACTGCTTTGAGTGAAGAGTGATCAAAATTTAATGTATCAATTCTTAGGAAGGTTGTGAACTCAATGTCACAAATAATTGAACCAGCATTGGATACAATTAGTTATAAAATGTTATATCTTTCGAGTCCTGTATAATACACTCTTATTTCTATATACTTTATACATTAATATAACTCTTATTTGTCAAATTTATTTCGATAGTATAATTTTTTTTTGCGCACATTTTTTCTAATTAACGTCAATTTAAATAATAAACCTTATCTATTATCCATCTCACGATAAAAGATGTTTTATGTTTTATTTACAATTAAATTATTTGTTCATTTAAATTATATTAACTTTAAATGAAATAAGAAATGGCTACTCGAAAAATTAAATGGAATGAGAAATTAAGAAATGTTTGGTGTAAATCCTATTATTGTTTAGACGGCTAAATAAAATAAAATTATATTAATATAAAATTAAATAAAAAAATGGAATAGTGGAATGGAGATACGAAAAAAAAATAAAAATAAAGTATTTAAGTAAATGACCTTAACGTTTTAAAATCTCCGAACAATATTACTCCATTTTTCTCCTACTTGCAAGAGTTTTAATTACATCTTTTAACAAACAACGATTATGATTAAACTTCTTTTTTGCATTTGTATAAAACTCTATATATTCAATGATCAATTGTGAAATTTGTTTTGGTTATAAATCTACAATAAACAATAAACAAAAAATAAGGATAAACTTCGAATCTCGCTCTTTTTAACAAAAATAAAATAAAATAAAATAAATTTACATTACCAGAAGTGATGATATAATAAAGTAATAATCTTTTGTAGTACAAACAAAAAACCTCAGATGCTTGTGTTAATATATATTTTCTTTATTAATAACACTTGACGCTAACTTTTAATTTTGTTCGAATATTATCAATACAATTTTGCAATAATTATCCTTATGAATGATCAATTTTCCAAAAACCCTTTTTCGTGTTTTTTTTTTGATTTTTGAATAGCGCATAAATAAAATAAATCTTTATTTTTGCTTTCGTGCACATTGTAATTATTGAAATTACATTTGGCTTCACTGTAATAAAAAAAAATAATAAATACATACTTAAAGTAAACACAAAGTGAAAAAAAATAATAAGTATAAAGGAGAGGTCAATTTGGGTGACAAATTATTTTTAGTTTTTAAATTTTAGCGCAAGTTTATAAGCCAACAAATGGATTTTGGAAAAAATTCAATATCACCGATTTTAAAATATAAATTTGTTTTCTATTTTCAAACAAAGAAAAAATATCACACGTAAAATTTTTATACAAATGACTATAAAGATTTTTATTTTAATAAGTAAATGTAAAATACGGTACTAAGTAACCTTAAGATAAGAACGAATTGCATATTATGTCAAAAGAACAGACATGTCTCATAAAAATTGGGGAATTACCAGCAGTCAAATTTTAAACGGGTAAAAAATTTAAAAGGATAATTGAGGCCGTTTTTGACTTTAATTTATCAAACTAAAATTTTATGTGGTGGTAACGATCGACAATATTTTAATTGACAAGTGTTTTCAATAAATAGAGATTGTCAAAGGAACAAATTGAAGTGTATCTCATAATTTTTAAGCTTGATGCAAGCGACTTGGTACAATTTATGGCGGAGTAAATTGGGATGATAAATGTTAACACTAAGATGATGGTATTGAAAAGGATAAAAGTCACGGGGGATGAATTATCTTTGTGTGTCTCCAGGATAACGGATTATTTTATCCTGGTACGAAAACGTTTTTATGGATGACAGAGGATGAAGGTAAACAAAAAGAAAAACTATAAAATAGCTGTGGCCGGAAAGAAAGAAAAAGAGATTTCTCTTCTCGCGAAAACTTTTAAAGCATATAATTTTCTTACCTCAGTAATGAATTTCTTAATAATTTTATCATAACAAATAATTTCGTAACAATCCAAATATAATATTAATATAAAATATATTACTTAATTTCTTGTATAAATCCTTTGATTTATTTTTTTACTTCTAAAATTCGCATTGATATACACATATATCAATTTCTATGGTACATTCATTATGATTAATTTCGACTGAAATTTTTGTTTTTAGTTATTTTTGTGCAATTAGTATTTTGGTGTTACCACATTCGCATC